TTATATCCTCTACGAAATTCAGGATTAAGTGATAAATTTTAGATATATATATATATATATATATATATATATATATATATATATATATATATATATATATAAAACATGTTAAAAAAAAAAAAAGAAGCTACATCATGGAAATTATGTTTCAACAATACAAATGTGTCTCCTCAGGCAATGTTAAACTACTGGCAAGTGAAAGATTAATTTAAAAAGCAGAATACTTAAAAAAAAAAAAAAAAAAAGTTTGTGGGCTTTGCCGTGATTAACCAATTGAATATGATCTACACTAATTTCAAATTCAGTGAAAAAAAATTTTTAATAATGGTCATGACACGAAGTTGACTACATATAAATTCTAGACAATTCCCTTATGGGCAGACACATGTTGTTACATTATTTTGTAGAATGTATTGAAGTCTGACATTCAACTTTCCTAAGAAGTAAAAGCAAAAGAAGTGGGGAAGTAATTTAACATAATGCAAAATAGTTATATGCTCATTCAGCTTCTTACATAAAATTTTGTAGTTGATAAATAAAAGGCCCCTTTAAGAAACTGGTAAATAACTGTTCAAAAAAAAAAAAAAAAAAAAAATACAGAACTACTTTGGCAAATTAATATGCAACCATTAAATAAAGAGCCTCCATATAAGATATTAATAATACTAACCAAACACCTGTACATACATATAAGATGTTAATAATACTAACAAACATCAATACAAAGCAATATTAAATCAAAATCAAAGCAATATTAAATCAAAATGAATCATACAAATAGAACAGTAAGCCATATAAGGTGGACAACAGTTAATCGACTGATTATAAGAAAAAGTATTATCAAATTCAAAGTTTAAACATATTGTAAGGTAAAAAGTAGGCTATGTCTACAGTTTACAGTCAATTCACTTCTTTGGTTTAATAAGGAGTTTTTATTAGAAAATTTGATAATTTCTAATTTTTCATGTAAGCATAGAAAACAGGGTTCATTTAAAGATCTACATGTTCTATCATTTTTAAAAATTTTCCATTTTACCTTAAGAATTTTATTAGATTCTTTATTTTATTTTCAAATGGTTAAGTGTGGGGATATCAGATTCCACATCATGTGTAAAAAAAATTTTCTATTAAAATAATTCATGTAAATGTATGTGTACTAATATGGAAAAGAATGAAAATTTTCAATAATATAAGCATATTATTTGGAATGCACCTTTTCAGTCAGACAATCAAGGGAGGAATGACATTCTGACATCTGGGGAAAAGGGTGTATTGGGCAAAAAAAGTTGAGTACTATTGTTGTATTGATATTACTGAGTGTTATTAAACACTGTAATTCCAAGAATGTTCTTAATGAAAGAAGAAAAAATGAAAGTAACATCTCTCAATTGTCAATACTTAAAGGAAAACTTCTGAAAATCATTTATGATGGTAATACATTTTACTTGAGAAAAGTATAACAGGATGTTCACTGCAGATTTATTTTGAAAATGATTTACAAAGGAAGCGCTCTCAGAGTGGTTTTTAACACCTGTAATTTTTAAATGTCTTCAGCTACCAATTTTATATCACATACTTTTCATATGTAAGGTGGAGGGAAGCATTTGTAATGTTTTTTTTTATCCAGGTTCAGAAACTAATGTTGGAAAAGATGCAACTCCTTCAGTCCCATAAGAGAACCAGTATATGTGGGTGAAATTCAGCAAAGTGTGAAATATTGCTTAGTGCTACAGGGGACAGTGCACGTAAGTTTAACATGAGAGCATTTCACTATGTCACTTTATAACTGATAATTTATATTCTTTTGAAAAATCCAAACATTTTGGACTGAATTAAATTAGATTGAAAGGTAATATTCTCAGGCAATTTCTGTTTTGAACTATGACCTCTTGGAAACAAGACAAATGATTGAAAGATAATGCTAGAGACCAAATTAAGACATCTTCTCAATGAGGTCTCTGATCAATGGGAGACTAAATACTGCCTGACAGGATAAATAGAGGGAAATACTATTTATCTGGGTTGATCAGCACAGAAGACAGAGACAGAGAAAAGACAGACAGAAGCACTACAACTTCTAATCAGCACATTTTTTATTGTTAATATGGATACTTTTTTCTCTTTTTTTTCTTAAATCAGTTCACCCCAAGCAAAGTGTTATTGCCACTAAGATTCAAGGGGTTATTGGAAGTGAAAGAGAATTAGAAGACTTTAGAAGGATCTAAAAACCCAATCCTAAACAGGAAACAGTTTGTTTTAAAATATGGGATCTCTCAGTTAACACAAACTGTAAAGGAGAAATTTTATACATTGTATTTGAATTCTTCTTTCAGCAAGGGTATCCATCATGGCTCCATCCATATTTCAAAATGTCTTTTTTTATCCACGGCACCTCTTCTTAATTGTACCCCTATAGTAAACATTGATAATGTAAGAAGAATAGGCTGGTGTATTATGAGGTATTCTGATTTTGGTAAATTCCCTGATGATCTTGTCAGAACAAATTTGACCTTAATAAAACTCCAAAAAATAAACTTTGTTGGTAAGATTAAAAAAAATCAATTTGACCTAGGCAATACCAGATAGCCTTGCAAGCAAATCTTGCAAGCACACAGTAGATATTTATTAAGCTTAGCACAGTTTGGTACAAGGTTAAATGAAGGGAAAATTGAGGATAGGAAGAATTTGTTAGATCAGGAGCAATCAGAATAGAGTTTAATAAACTTGAACCAACCATGAACAGTCTTCTGGTAACTCTTGATGTTGACCATATCTGGCTTCAGTGTGAATTCTTTCTCCTTTACAGTGATGGCTACTTCACTGTCAATAGACAACAAACATAATTTTCAAAATCCAATATCAAAGAACAAAACTACATTATTATATGAGACTTATTATACAGGGTAGGCCAAAAGTAGGTACACAGTTGTTTAATTATTTATATACTGACATGACTTTTTCCAGTGATAGTTACTTAAACATGCTTCATGACATGATAGGACAATTCAGAACCAGAGCTAACTTCATTAACCTGTTTTTTCAGCAAAATGGGACTACCTTGACCAAACCTTCCTACAATGGTGGATCAGATGACGTGGCAGCATTGAATGGACACCACATTCACCCAACTCCAATGGACTTCTTTCTGGTGGTCGTAATAAAGAATAAGGTTTATGAAAAAAAATCCCCACAAAGTAGACAAATTAAAAGAGTTAATCTTGGAAGCATTTATTGACATTGATACAGATTGAAATTTGTGTCATAGTGTTCTGGAGAGGTTTGAGGAATGTTGCAAGGACAGAGAGGTTTGAGGAATATTGAGGGACATTTCAAGCACTTGCAAGATTAAACAAATTTAAATGTAATAAATAAATGTAAAACTGTAAAGTATATGCCTAGTTTTGGCCTACCTGTACACCGATTGATTTGGATTGTTGTTATAATCTTTGTTATAGTCACATTTCAACAGTTTAGGGCCTTCTTCAGGTGTTTACTTTAAAACATTTTGGATTTGATCAAATTATATTGAAAGGTTGAAATATCAGACCTTTTTTCTCTGAACTTTGACTTCTTGAAAACTGTTACAAAACAAAATGCAGGATGAAAAGAATGCTGGAGAGTGTCTTCTTGATGACATCTCTGATCAATATTAGACTAAATTATGTCTGACAGGACAAAGAAGATGTAGTTATTTAACTGGATAGATCAGCCCAGAGAGAATAAAAGAGAAACTGAGTCACTTCAAATTGTAACCCATACATTTTTTTTTTACTGTTCAACCTTTGTACCCTTTTATGCTTTAAAAATATTGGATCTCTATCTTTCTACATATTGTATTTGAATTCTTGTATGTCTAATTTTTAGAACCACACTCTTTATTCAATCCATTAAAGTAGGCCATTTTACATTCTGTTATTTATGTTATGGGATATGTCAGAATTAACTAATTATTGTCTTATGGGAGAATGACTTAATGGATAAGTTTGCTGGGTGGTCATGGGTTCAAAACCTCGGCCAAGTAGTGAAATCCGTATTCTAAGTAGGATAAAAAGAATCTGCATGACAAGGATGAATTAACAAGAATTCAGTATTCCATGACAGTTACATTCACAATCTTGGGAACAGGTTGGCAACCAATCAGAGGTGGGGACCTTACTACGCATACATAGACGTTCTTGTGTAGATTTATTCATTTATACTATTTACATTGCTTGGACTGTTATCCTCATCTTTATTGAGGTATTCACAACATTTTGGCCATTGTACACTCAGGCCTTCTTCAGGTGAAATATGAATTGAACTCACAACTCTTTGGGTCAAGTCACTGGATTACTTCAACCAATGCTTTTATTCACTGGGCTATATCCACCAGAGCTCATATTACAAATGTTTTTTTGTTTTTTTTGTTATTGCTTTTATCCAGTGAATTGTATTCATGTCTAAAAAAAAAAAATAAAAAAAATAAAGAAATATTGTAATATGAGATCTGGTAAAAAGACGTTAGATGAAACATCAGGTTTATAAGTCCTCAAAATTAATGAACTGATGTCCCCAAAGACACATGACCCAGTGGATAAAAGTGTTGGTTGAAGTAATCTAGTGATAAAAAAAAAAAAAAAAATAAAAATCAGAGAGTTGAGTTACTAAAGGGAAATAACTGAAACTGAGATATCCAGAAAAGGCATGGCACATGGAACTAGAACAATCTACCCCAGTGGACTAAATAAAGGGTTTGGTTCGAAATTCCAATGTATATCATCTGAAGAAGGGCAGAGTGTATAACAGCCAAAATGAAAATAAAGATGAGGACAGCAGTTCGAACAATGAAAATAGTGTAAATAGTTACAATACCTCTTCTCAGAAATATAGACAGATGTTAGAACTATTCAATTGATAAGGAGATGCTATTGAGTTAGTTGGGTGTATTGTATGACTATCACATTCATAATGATCAACTCTGCACATTCTTCAAATTTCATGCAGTTTTTTTTTTTGTGTTAGTTGCAGCTAAGTTATGGTTCATTGCACTTTCTGACTTTTTTCCAAAGCTGAACTGAACAGATTTCAGACAAATATGAGACATCACTTTCATATACAGCAGAATGAGAAGGGTCTACCGCATTGAATTGAATAAAGTGTTTGGTATGAAATTACACAAACATTACTTAAGACAGAAATCTGAAAACATTGAAGGGTACTGTAACCCATTAATTCTTTAGATATATATTTGTTAAGAGAAATATTTTTGTAACCCCCACTTCAAAAAACGTTGGTTATCATACACAAAACAACTAAAGCCAATAACTCAGTAAAAGTCAAGAAACGATTTAATACTGTATTGATATTATAAATATCACACCTCCACTCCAAAATCGATAACAAATCAATATTTTTTGATTCTGACAAGTGTTACAACCAAAGGAAGGTTTAAAAAAATGCTAATCAACAAAAATTATTTACCCACCAAAATTTTCCATATTATTTATGAGTGGTCTAAGTTGTATTCTCAGTTGATACAAAATAATAAATCAAGATATCTTCCTTGCACAGTACCCAGATTCACCTTGTGAGTGTTTTTTATTTGACAGCACTTCCTTGTCAGCTGCCCTTTGATCTCTAAGTAGTTGCCTGCCGACAACACAACAGAGATGTCTGGTTTGATTAACCCAACAACAATTGCCACATGGTAGTACAACAATCAAAATGAGGACAAAATAAATCAGTGTAGTATAATTATAAATTCAGCCAGAAATTAAAAGAGATTTGAGAAAGAAATCTTTGGCTACAAACCCATTCTCTTTTAGATCAGTATCAAGGGTTGTTAATTCTTCACTGGACAGAGATGAAAGATATTCAATCACACTTTTGGCATCCTGTCTAAATTCTTTCCCAATTACTCCTTTCTGTGGTTGACATTCCACAACATCAATTGTTTTGTGGGCCAAGTTAAGGAAATTCAAAGCTTTCAGATATTCAGTAAATATACATTAAAGATATATAGTAAGTAAAACTAAAACTATTTAAGTCAGAAGGAGATTATTTATAACAGTTTTTAATTTTGTATTCCTTTTGAAGATATCTCTTTACTTTCTAAACAACTTACCACACTTATCCTACTGACACACACACCACAGTCAGGATCATAGAGCCATTGTAAACTCCACAATCCTTTCATTAGCTGCATAGTAAGTGCTTCCCCAGGCTACATACATTTGTTTTGTTTGACGCATACCAACCTCAATAATTTATTTAATGCCAACAAAATTATTACTGGTAATATTTTTCCCCAAAAATGCATTGCTGGTATTAAAACCTATTTTTACACTTTCATAGTGTTTTGATCCCAATCTGCCCATAGAAAGGACAAGTGCTACTAGCCCAGATCAAAGTGGACCTGGGAACATCAACAATTAAGAGGTGGTTCCACGCTCCTCAAAACCTCCTTATTGCTGCTGGATGTAGTTTATTGTCATACCCAGAATGCCTCATTGGGGGGGGGGGTCTTACCCCTCTGCAGACATGCAGTTACTGTATTCTGAAGCCCCAGGCAACAGAGCAAAGGGCTACATACAGTCTTTGAATTCAGGTGTTCTCTTAGACTAGTTGCCATCCAAGGCTGAAGAACCCAGCTATTTACCCATAGAGAATTTGAATTAAGTTATCCTCCTCCTAGACTGGCTGCCACCCAAAGCTATAGGACTTAGTCTGTTCTGCTATTTACCCATAGCTGGGTGGAAAGGAAGAGATGGATTCATACTTTTCCTAAGTGAATGTAACAAACCTGAGATTTGAACTCATTTCGCAAATTCCTCAATCTAAGCCGCTATCCATTACTCCATCGTGCCTCCATTTTATACTTGCATGCAAAAAGAAGCATATTTCTGAGAAAATTGGACAACTTTTCCTGTGGCATTATGGACAATAGGGATCATATAATTTGGAAAAAAAAACAGATGTTTAAAATAGTAGCAGGAGGAGTTTGGAAAACAAATGAAGAATACATTGAAGTGATAGTAGTTATGCATGTTTTCCAAAAAACAGTAGTAAGAGTTTAAAAAGGAAGAAAAAGTGTGAAGTTGCTAGAAGACATATGTAGATGTGTACAACATCTGTCCAGAAAGCAATAGGCCATTTTGCTCATCTTGACAAGTGATTGTGCAGCCATGATGTAACTTGGCAACCAATCAAAGGAGACTATTGTTCATGCATGAACAAACATTCTTCTATAGATTTATTCAGTTGGCAATGAGATGCCATTGAGTTAGCTTCAGTATTGCATGATAGTTCACAATCTTGAGAACAAGTTGTGCAGCCTCGACGTAACTTGGCAACCAATAAGAGAGGGTCAATCTCATCTAGATTTATTCAGTTGATAATGAGAGGTCATTGAATGAACTTGGGTAGTGTACAGTTACCTTCTTTTGTAAAATAAGGCAAGGGTGTGTTGAAGTTTAGGGAAATACTTAACAGATTTTTCTCTTAACAATTAAGGGGTAACAGGCAGAGAAGAGAAAGAGACGGGAGGAAATAAAATAAAACTAGTAATGACTAGTGAGGCTACTGCCTCAGAAACCATAGCATGGTAGGTGGCACACAACATCCAGAACAAAATGTACCAAGGGAACGTCTTCACAAGACATTGAATCTCTGACAAAAGCAAAGTGAGTCTTGCCAACTGCTGGTTTTCCAGTTGCTTTTATTGACATGAGACAGTTGAAAAAGATTCGGATCTGGACAAGTTGCAGAGAGGCCTGGATCTTGACATGCCAAGTTGTTCTGCTGCTAACAGTGAAAACCCGGATGTGACTCCGGGCCTCTTTTGCATCTGTACTGACATGCGTTTGCCACACATTCATTATGATCAACTCAAACAGAAACATCTAATGCTTCCCTGTCCCCTCGGCTTCATCATAGCATTTAACGGATTTTCTCCAATAACTTTTAAAACAAATACTACATACAATACCTCTGAAAATTTCAGTTTTTCTATTCAAATTTTCTGATGAATTCTTAAGTTAATGATTGAATAAGCTCCTTGCGAGTTCCCTAAATATAAAATACCCAGAGAAATTCTGCTATTCAACTTTAGCAAAATATTGCACTAACAATCATAAATGTGAATGCAGGTCATTATCTAAAGAAGTAAGAGGGTACAAATAAAAAGATTAAATACTGACAAGATTTTCCATTTCACTGAAGCAGATGTTAAACATATGAGAGTGTTATTGCTTCCTCTATCTTCCCTTTCCTGCTTTCATTCATTCTGTTGATATATATATTTTCTTTTGCCTATACTTGCAATCAAACAGGAATTGCTCAGACAGCTTCCTTGATCATATGATCATATTAAAATTCTATTTGTTTCTTAATTAAGAAATATGTAACACACTGCCATTACCTCAGATAAACAATGGACCATTCCTTGTTTGAGTGTAAGGATAGATGGAAGAAAAGGATTGTTTGGGGTGATAGATGGGTGTGAAATACATGCTAACTAGAAGCAGAATTATAATATGATGATGATAATAATAACCAAAATAATGTTGAAAATCTATGTTCTGATAGATGTCGCAGCTCGAGCTGAAAGAAGAGGATATAAATGAAAAGATTCAAAATTGACAAGGTTTTCCCTTTCACTGAAACAGACATATTATAACCTCCTCTGTGTCACCTTTCTATCATTCATTCATTCTTTTCCCTAAAACCAAACAGTGCCTTTGATATATCTTTTCTTCCATCTATCCTTGTAATCAAACAAGGAATGGTCCATTGTTTATCCAAGGTAATGGCAGTGTGTTACATATTTTCTAATTAAGAAACAAATAGAATTTTAATGATTATATGAACAAGGAAGCTTTCTGAATTGTTCAGGCTAATATTCTCAACATTGTTATGTCACTGTATTCTGGCTAATACATTTTTATAAAAAATAAAAATCATTATCTGAAAAGGATATTGGTTCTGAAAGTCTCTTCTCAGCAACAAGTTTCACTCCAGTGGCTTTGGTGTGCTGAGTGAGATCATAGCAAGATCGATCAGCACAACCTACACACTCAACCCAACCCTGCAAAAAGATTTAAAAAAAAAAAAAAAAAAAAAAAAAGAACATAGAAATTAGTAATGTGAATTCATTCATTTCGACTAGCAAATTTGTGATATAAATAACATTTATTCCCTGTTAATTTTTCAATTCAGAGAACTCACTGCAGGAGTGATGGATTGATCTTGTTTAATGCCATATCAACCATAATGCCAAAATTGAAATATTTTGTACATAATTTTATGCTTTCAGCTACAGATATTTTGCATATAATTTTATACTTACAAAGTAAACGTAAGTTTTTGTTAGGTATATAGCTTGTAGATAGAATGTACTGTTGGTAATTGTATTATAAAAATGTACTATTGGTAATTGTAGTATAAAAATGTACTGTTGATTTATTGGTGGAGAGGGTCACTATTTGCCCATAGCTGGGACCTTAACAGGTGTTACCACCTCCAGTCAGGATGGACCTGGGAACAACAGCAGTTAAGAGGTGGTTCCAATTTCCTAATTCTGCCGGATGTAGTTTATCATCATGCCTAGGAAAGCACTACAGGAGTAATAGTTTGCAAGAGGAGTTGGTTCACTATTATAGCCTGACCCCTTCCTGGCTGAGTGGTTACCAGACCTAACCGGCTTCAGCACCGGTTATTAAAATCAATACTCTCATCCAGATGTTAAATTGCATACTAGAGAGTTAAGCTTACTTTAGTGCTGATAGCTTCTTTCCTTCACTGGGATGTGTCATCTGATGGATTCAGTTCGTTGTGTCTACTTGCGAGGAATTCACAATCTGCAGATTTTTGTTAGTCTAGGCGAAAATTCAATCATACCACTTCTTCAATGCTGAATGAGGTAACATGTTCACAAAAGAAATGATGCTGTTGAAAAATTATCAACAATTAAATTCTGGATGAAATGTATTGCTTTTTTGCTAAACTTTGAGGCACTGAAAGACAAAGGCTTGATGAGATGTGAAAGTGCTAATGTCTTTGCAGTGATTGACTTCTATGGCAGATGAAGGACATTGGTGGGATCTCTGAAAATGTCTTTTCTTCAATGATTCTGGGCATGTGGCCTGTCGCCAGTGCATGCATATTTTGTTTATATAGGCTTCCGGGGACAAACTGGGCATGATTAATTAGCTTCTCAAACAAAGAACATTCTGTTAGAAAATCCAGATTGCCAACCACAAAATGCTTTTTGATTTTGGCCTGGATTTTTATGTTTGCAAAATCACATTAAAATTAATGCAAATATGACAAATAAGTCTCTAAATAAACAAACTCGAGAGCAACTGAAAACCTGTGGACCTTATGCAAACTCATTAGTCATGTCAACCTCCTTGGTACTACGGAGTTGGACCAGGGGCGTCAGTTATACTAAATTTTACTTAGTTTAATTTGAATTCAAACTCTTCTAAGACCCTCCTTACAAGTATTTTATGGATTTAAATTAATATTTTCAAACCATTTTTTTTTCTATCAGACTCCAATTTGATTAACCACTCTCCCATATTTTTATCCTAATATCTCTACTCCTTCACTCAGAATTATCAAATCTCTCAATACTTCATTAGTCCTGACCTGGTGTCTTGGCTTCAGTCACTTTCCTACCATAATGTAGCTTCCGTGTGTCTTTTCTTTAAATATATTCATGGTAATTGTTCAGATGAACTTGTCACTATGGTACATAGTGTAATGATTTGGTCAGTCAACTTGACACCTGCAAAGCGAGTGGAGGTGGGCAGGCGTGGGAACTGTGATTGGTAGTTGGCTTGTTGGTGTTTTGCATAGGTGAGTTACCAAGCTCTATGTAAAGGGCTGGAATGAGAAGGAGGGCAGTTTTTGTCTCAGAAGTGGAGACTGTGCCCGTCGCTATGACAGCAGGAGAGAAACAGACAAAATCAATTTTTTTTTTTTTTTTTTTTTGTGTGACACATTTCAACACACATAGATTTTATGAATTTAAGTGCAGGTCTCATTAATTCACAGTTGAAATGGCTAGATGTAACCCCAAGTTCTATGCTAACAGTTTTTTTTCTTGCACTTCTCACATGTGGAACTCTATTCTGGCTCCATGCTTTCCAGTCAACTTTGATCTTCAAAACTTTAAATGCTATATCAATCATTATCTATTATCTTTTTGATTACTCTTCTTTTGTACTTGCTTAATACTATTTCTGTTTTTTCTCATTCTTTCACACTCGGTAACCCTTTGTGTCTTAGTGGCTTTACTGCCTTGCATAGGGTGAAATGATAAAAAAAGTCACTAATGACTTTTCATGTGTTAGTATGACTCAATCAAGGCTACTACCCTGTTACACTACCATCCTACAATAAAGTACTTACTAAGCTTGGTCTGACAAGGTGACTAAGTGTAATGCTTGTTGGTGCAGAAAGTGGAATAGGAGAGCCAAGTTCAAATTTCTACCTTGTCTGTTGTGCTCACTTTTGCACAAGTTGGGAAACACATGAACCCATTACTTCTCCCTTCAGCTATAGTAGACAGATTATTGGTTGAGGAAGATGAGATCACATCTAAAGACATTGAACATGTATTCCTTAAATTCAGAAATAGAGGAAGAATCATGTAAGTTTCCTTATTGGAGAATAAAGACTAAGAAATAGACTTGAAATCTCTTCCTCATTTGTTAATTATAAAAATTTGCTACTTTTCTATCAGTCTTTTGTATCATCCCTGCAGGATCCACCTGACCAGTTTATAAAAAATGGCATCCCAGTATAAAAATTTGTAAATGTAAAATGAATAGTAATATTAGCTGTTTCCTTATAAGGAAACATTCAAAATTCATTGACCAAGCAGCTTGTACTATTGTCAGTTGAAATTTTATAAAATCTTTCTCTTAAAACAATTTTTCAGGAAAATAGGTTCCTGAAGTCCAGTTGCTGTTATCGCTCTTTTGAGTATTTACGAGGGTTTCCTTCTTAACCTTTTGTTTAAAGTATGTCAACATCTTGGTTATGTTATTATTTTCTCTTTGAGTTACATATGCTATCCATTTCAGCTGTTGCTGAAAGTTCTACTGTGATGCGGTTTCTGTTATTTGGTACAGTTCCTTTATTTAATTCTGCAGCACCAATCCACAAGGTTTGAAGAAGTGTGGTCCATATCAAGACTCAGACTTCACTCGCTCAATGCCATTTCTAGCCATTGTTTGTATAAAGTGGTTGCAGACAGTTTCTGAACAGATTTGCTGCTATGCATGAAATCCATATGAAAGTCCATCTGATAAGGATATTTAAGAACATGACTCGAGTTTTCAGTTTAATGTTTTGGTTTTGTAGCAATTTGTGGTATTGTGTGAAACTACCTCTAGCACCACGTCAAATAATTTTCAATACATTTATAATTATTTACAAATTTTAAAATACAAATACATTTAAGGTTGCTATCTTTATTAATCATCACTCTCTACCCCAACCTCTGCAGCTTAAGCTTTACTTAATACCTCTTGCAGCACCTTATCACAGTAGTCCTACAAATTCTTACTACTATAGTAATTTTGATATTCACTGGATACTCATGTCAGACTACATCCTGCCTCATAGGTTTCCCACTGGTCAGATAAGCCCAACAGGATTTTAAATGCTGATTTTTAAAGTCGGCCAGCCCTTCATATTTACGAGATTTGTGCAACATAATTTTCCCTCCCATTCATTTTGAGTTACTGCTGCACTCAGCTAAGCTTAATATACTTTAGTTTCAAATAGACAGGGTGGTTGGAATAAAAAGGAGTGGGTGGAAGATTTATTTTTTAAATTTTTTTTAAAATTTTTCACTAATGAAATTGTTTGGATAAAATTTTTTGAATATCTAATAAAAAGAATACTTGGAATAAGAATATATCTCTTTGGCAGCTGTTACTAAAAAAAAAAAGAAAAAGAAAGTTATCTTAGGACTTTTATTTGAAACTCATAGGTAAATATCAACAATCATTTCAAATCCTTGTGTATAATTTAATTTACCCTTCTGTTTTCTCTTCTATTCCGATTTACAAACTCCAAACACAAAACAGAATATATGTTTATTAACTTACATAAGATGTTTTGCATTCGGCATCCCAACAGTCTTTTGCATAATGAGCCATCTCATTGGACAGATGTTGCCGGAATCGCAGACGGTTGGGGTCCACACCAAATTTGGTCAAAAACTGAGAAATACGGCCCATGAAATAACCCAAAGTTTCATTGGCAATCAGTTTCTGAAGAAAAAGGAAATAAAAATTTTAAAATGTTATTGTAATTTTACCAATCAGTTACAAAACATGGGAATTGGAATAAATTAAGTTTATAAGAGTTTTTCAATATGAATAAAAAATCATAAAAGATCTTCATATTAATAGAAAGCTTTATTATAAGAAGCACACTGCATTTCTAAATTGACAATTTTGAGAGGTTCAAGAATAGACAATTATTTTATTATAAGTTTTTGTAAACAATCTGCATTTCATGATTTTTCATTTATATTGAAAAATGTGAATTATCTTTTTTTTCATAAATTCCTTCTTTTTTAAAAAATTATTTTTCAGTTTCCTTTATCAACTAATCCTGTTCTTTGTTCTAAATACGTATTTTTCAATATTAATAAAAAAAATCATGTAATAATCTCAAAATTAAGGCTAGGAAAAAAAGAAAAACAAAAGTAAAGAGGCTCATGTTTAACACTTTAGCATTCAACATGCTTAAACCTGCTCCGTAAATATTGACTCTTAGTTTTACTGTTTGCCTGACTTCCTGTGTTACTTGCGATTATGTTGTCATATTATGTAAGAGTATATTTGGCATGTTACAATGGGTTGAACATTGAGAGCTGATATTTATGGGCTGAGTTTGAGTAGGTTAAATATTTAATAGTTAAGAGACAGGCATGTTTCAATTACAATCACAAACTCCAAAATCTGAGCTTTTTCATTGGTGTTTCTGCATCTATTTTAGGAAAAACATGGTTTAAATTAGCAACACAAACTGGAAACATTTACAAATGAAAATGTTCAGTTGTTATTAATCTCAGCAACTTTTTTTTTCTTTTCAAATAAAACCTTTTAACAAGGTCTTCAGAGTAATTTTGGAAGGTTATGTGGGTAGTTTAACAGATATCAGTGTGGAAAGGGGAATCAATAAGTTGAGTTCAAATTCCAGTCAAGTTTGTGGCATTCATTTTCACACAAATCACCTTGGGAAATGCATGAGTCTTTTCCCACCTTCTTCTACATGCAGTGTCCCTTCAAGATGAGGGCGATCACAGCTTTCAATGATTTCCTGTCTTTAGTAGATCTTGTCTTTTGGCTAATCTTTGTTCTGTCAACCATTGTTCCTCTTGCCTTCAATATGCCTTGTGAGTGTCAAATTTTCTAAGCTTTCTTTTCTCATTATGTGCCCCAGAAATTTAAACTGCCTCTTTTTGATGTTAAGTAGAGAGTCCTTCTGTTTCCATTTTCTATAAAATTTCATCATGTTTACTCCATGGTATTTTCAGCATACATTTGTAGAACCACATTTCCGTTGCCTCAAGTCTTTTCTTCATCTGTGAGGAGACTGCCCAGATGAGAAAAGAAAGACAAGAGAGAGGAAGAAAGAAAAGAAAGACAAGAGAGAGGAAAGAGAGACAAGAGAGAGGAAAGACAAACAAGGGAGAGGAAGAAAGAAAAGACAAACAAGAGTGAGGAAAAAGCAAAGAAAAAAGGAGAAGAAAAAAAGGGAGAGAGAGAGGAAAAAAAGAGAAAAAATATGACAATGAGTTTATTTTAAATGTTAAATTTTTCATCTAAATAAAATAAAGACAGTACAATAAGGACTTACTTCTTTGACAGCTTCTCCCAGTTTCCACTTTTCAGGAGACTTACCATCCAGTTGGTTACATGCAGAATAAAGGTTTATATCCAAGTCAGCAAGGTTAGCAAATTTGGCATGGCTTTTATCAGTTGGGTCACAAAAGTGTTCAATTTCTGCCATTGTGAACTCTCTGGAAGCAAAGATAGGAAAATACTAATCATGCATTTTTCAGTTATGATCTTTAATTGGGACAAAAGGTCATTTGAATTTAGACAACAGATTTCTTTCTCAGTGTAAATCAGTTGAGATTTAGTTGAGTCACATTTCTAAGCAAATCTGAAATAAATGATAAATTTATTGCATAAAAAAAAGACTTCTGTCTGGAATATATCCAAATATTTAGAATATGATGAAAACTGATTGATGCAACTTAGCAACCAGTCAAGTGTTTACTCTCCCTTTACTCAGTCAACAGTGAAATGTTACTGAACAAACTATGTTAACAAAATGTAAGTATTGTCTTTAGGTCTTGTGCAGGGATTTTTGGCCAAACATTGTTTCCTTTAAGTCTCTCAATACTCCATACAGCCTAGATTAATTAAAAGTAATTTTTCAAAACTTGTCTTTAATTCTTTATGAAAATTAAGTTTTGTTAAGAATCACTGATCTTAGAAATCATTAAAAATATTTTTATTTGAGAGTTTTCAGACATGTAATATTGACTTTATAAAATTCAGTTTATTATTATTAAAGATATGCAACTTCTTTGCTAGAGTTTAGCAACTTAAAAAAAGAAAAATAATGGAAAGAACAGGAAAAGAAAGGAAGAGAAAAAGATAAAAAGAGAAAGATAAAAAGAAAAAAAAGGAAAAAAATTTTTTTTTTTTTTTAAAGAACACAAATAGAGTAATCATCTTACCTGACTCGTATAAGACCAGATCGAGGCGAGATTTCATTTCGGAAGGAATTACCAATCTGGGCACCAGCAAAAGGCAAACGTCCCTGATTAAATTCTAAAAGCCTCTTGAAGTTTACAAAAATACCCTGAGCTGTTTCTGGTCGAAGAAATCTAATGAAAACAAAAAATTTCATATTGTCAAATCTAGTCTAAGATTTTATGAAATAATTTTCAGAAAAAAAACAAAAAAAACTACCCCCCCCAAACCAATTTGACTAAAAATTTTGTTGTTTCTGTTATTAGATGGCATTGAGAGTATTAAATTTTAACTAACTTTTGTCAAATGATCACCTTTAGCTACCATATTAATATTCATTAAAAAAGTAAATCCTTCAATTAAGCAGTGTGAAATAAATAACTATTCCCTAAACGGTGTAAAATCAATAAGACCAAAGTATTTATGTTTATTACAATTAGACATTATTACAATCGGTAACGGTGTTCTATGCAGCAAATAAATGCTGAAAACACAGGACAATTTTTCATCTTGCTGGATCCACAAAATGCTGCTGCTGCTGAATAATGACATCATGAGAGTATATACCATGGTTGATTTCCTCAATTCAAGTATAAGCAGTTCAGCCATCTGAAACAATATGGCTTCCAAGCTGACTATACTGCACAATCACCCCTTTCATAGTCTCTGGTTGTCAATTTGGCTACCTCAACTAAGAAACTTTCCCAAACCACACTCAATAACACCAAATACCCAATGGCCAGGGCGCTATTGGCCCCAGTGATATTTAAGATGAAAAAATACTTAGATATAAAATTACAGTTTATTTTTTACTGTTTAACTGAAGCAGAACTTTGACAGATTAATTTATGGCACTTATGTGAAGGATTACCAAAAAAAGCTTGTTAAAATTGGCCTATTTTTGTTTATTGATCTTAACATTGAAACCACAAAAAAAAAAAAAAAAATTGTATATATCAAATAATTGCAAAAGTTTGTGCCCAATTTTTATTATTAATATAAAATGACTGCAACTTGACAGTGGTCTTTGTTTTGGTGCCGATTTCTGGTGTGATGAAGATTGAAACCTAATATTGTCCACTTGTGAGTCAGACTTTATTGAATGTTGACAGTTTGTCCACAAATTAATGTCTTAAAGATGTAGGATGAAAAGTTGAACTTTCACCATATTATGTGCTATGAATTTTAGAAAGTGTTGGAGCTGTGACAAAAAATATTTAGAAGGTTAATTTGGATCATGCTGCAGCTCTTTGAATTGTTGAAAAGTAGTTTGGCAAATTTTGTCAGACTGATTTTAACCTAAATGATCAACCACACTCTGCTTCTTATCATGGAGAATAAACCAAGATTTTAAAGAGATTGCTAAGATTTTGAAAATTGATATCTTAACTACATTTCACCATTTGAAGAGATTTGGGTTCAAGAAAAACCTTCCACCACCCACCATATTCTCTTGACTTGGCTCCTTTAGATTTTGATTTGTTTCAGTCTCTACAGAACAATTTAAATGACAAAAAATGACCGTACAGTCAATCAAAATCTACCTCACAAGCTTCTTCCAACAAAAAACACAAAGTTTCTATGAAAATGACATCAACTGGCTTGTAAAGCGATGGGAGAATGGAGGCTATGCATTGGACTAATAAATGTTTTTTGTGAGGATGTAAAATTTTGTTTTTAATTTTCTAATCAGGCACAAACTTTTGCAATGATTAATTAATAAAATTATGATACATTTTTGTATTTAAATAATTCATAAGCCATTGTTATTATTAAATAAATTATCTTTACATTTGTTAAGATTTAGTCAGTGGGTTGTCTGTTATTTCTAGTGTTATCCAATGTTCTAAAGTGAACTAGTCTTTGCTGTTTCATTCATAATATTATTCTACTTCAGATAATATGTGTTAAATCTGTATAGACACAAAATATTACAAAAAAGTATTAAGAAAAACCACATATACTACTGACCAAAAATGTTATGATCAAAACAACAAAAATGAAGATACTAGTCCAAAAATGTTCATAATAGTGAAAATCACTCCCACAAATATTACTTTAAGAAAACTTAAAACAGAGAATAATTCTTTTGGAACAGTTCACTTCTCCGAAATCTATTTCTTGGAAGGTCGAAGAGAGACAACTTTTATATTTGAATGGCTTTTTATGTTTTTGTTTTTTTTGTCATTAATAATTGCACTGGTGAATTTGATTGATAATTGTAAATATTAATTTACAATAATAAATTTAAAAAAAAAAAAATGAATGAGTTCCCTGAGGGGTTGTTTTAAATTTATTATTGTAAATAAATATTTACAATGGCCAATCAATTAACTGGTGCAATTGTTAATGAGACAAAAAAAAATAAAGAGCGAGCCATTCAAATATGGGAGAATGAGCTTTAATTCCCAGATCAAACAGTAAATTTGTATCCATTTCTTACATTATTTTTTTTGGTAGATCTTCTATTATTACAATATGTGATATTTAATAAAAGTACTGATCAAAATATAAACAAAAAGAAACTAAATAAATTGGTTGGACTATATACTTAAATAAAAAAAATAAAAAAATAATTAAATTTAAAAGTTTAAAATTTCAGTGTCCCCTCTCCTTCATTTGTATGTGTAGTCACATAAACATCATTTTAGTATGATAAAATCCTAAGGCACAAAATACGTCAAATGAAGATTTTTTTTTCACTTTGTCATTAGTTTTCCTAACATCAAATATAAAAAGTTATCTCCAACTTTTTGAAAGACAATTATTCTGTTTTAAGTTTCCCTAAAACATTTCATGCAAGTGACTTTTGATATTCAGTCCAAAATATTCATGGAATTTTTTTTTGTGTGTGTATCAAATCAAATAACTATACTTTTTTTTTTTTTTTAAACACATAATATAATCAGTCTCTTATCAATGATTGGATTTATTTTCTGTGGCTTATTAACCCTTTGTATGTTATTTAAAACCAGAAAATATTTTTAGATAATAAGAATTTGGTGGTGACGGAGATAATAATGGTTTTGTGATACAAGTCTTACTAATTAACCCATAGTTGCAGGGAGAAGAGGTGGATTCATGTGTTCAGAATTCAGTGACACCATGTACATTACACGATTCATATATCCAAGCTTACAGCACCCATCACCCATCTAGGTACTGACCAGGCTCAATGTTGCTTAACTTTGTTGGTCATATAAGAATGGTTTTATTGAGCAATTACAGGAACAATTTTCATTTTAATATACAACTGTATAATAGAGAATTTGAATTCAAAGCATATATTCCAAGAGAAGGTAACTAACCCTTTTAGATGTCCAGTGGGTCCAATTGATGTGCTAAACATCAAATTAAACTCTATAGGTTCAGAAAGGTCATTACCAGACACAGGTGACTTCATATTATAATTCTTGAGGCACTCAGCCATGTCATCTTTGCTCATACCATCAATCTGAAAAATAAAAAAAAAAAAATACAGGCTCTCTAAGCTCTCTCTATATCAGGACAATAATTTGAATATTTCTCTTTGATCTATGACCATCCCCATCAAGGTTGACAGTATTTTGCTAGGCAGATAAAGCAATTTTCTCTAGTGATCATTTACTCACTAATGAACTATTTTCTGTCAATTATTGTGACATCTCATAAACAAGATCTTTGTAAACATTTCTTGTAATTTCAGAGAGAACAGATAAGTGAATTTATGTCTTTCTTGAGAGCATTAGTGAGACAATGACAGTGTCAAAATTTGAACTGGGCTCATCTATTTGCTGTAGATAATACTGAGGTTTTCTGGCATGTGCTCAGTCACATTTAGTATTTCAATATTAATTCAACATTAATATCTATGGAGAAATAATTAACAGTATTATATGTTATATGTGATTACTAAACTTAATGTTAATTTGTTACAAGGCCAAATGAGAGGAAATTGGAGTTGCACCAACCTTTGAAATGGTAAGGACCTGTTTGCTTCAGAAATCAGCATGTAAAATCCTAACTTTTATACCATGGCTCAAATGTTGGCACTGATGTGAAATGCGGAAATGAAATGCAGACAGAACAGCCAATTGCTACTGATAACTGTACCCTCCTCCATCAGTCAAAGAGACAACGCTTAGTATGCTGTCTCTGCAGAAAGACAGCACATGGCTGCCTTGCTAGAACAGAGCTGGTGCAAACCCCAGAACATCCTGTTATGAAGAAAGTGTCAACCAGCTTCCCCATAAGATAGTCAAGACAGTGAGCTGATTGGTGTTAGCTGTGCAAATGATTCCTTTGCTAAACAAATGCTAGAGATTTAGGCTTTATAAAAGCAGGCACATTTTCTGGGAAGAGGCAGTGTGCTGTGTTGACTGCACAATGGGATTGCGGTGCATTACCAAGAAGTACTGTTCGTGTTACCCAATGTCGTTTGAAATTTGTTCATGCTCATTTGTGTTTCTGTTGTCTTGGCTGCATTTGTTCCTTACATATGATGTTCTGTGTAGAAGTTTTTTCCATGCTCTGCTTGTCATGATCCAGTGTTCAATTCTGATGCTGCCAAGTTTTTTGTCCCTCTTCATTAGAAGATACCCAACAAATAAGAAGAAAATCACTTCATCTCAGCCACAAGACAGATCTCATTTGTAACTTGTGACTTTTAAAGAAAAACATTTATTACTCAGACCAGCGTATTCATGTTGATTGTTATGCTCACGTTTTGGTCACTGTACTGTCAGGCATTCGTCAGGTATTTCTGTTAGTACATTCAGTAACTTTTTGGAAACCAAAACATTCTTTCAATATACAAAGGTAGACTGTTCTTATTCCTCTTTCCATGTTTAGTGGATATTTCATATCAGTTTATAACACTTTTCTGCCAATCTGCTGCTGGCCATTAAGTTGGTTACTCTGGTCTAAACTATTGCTCTGCCCACATTATGTTGATTGATCACAGAGCCAGCAAAGATCAGATTGTCATCAGTAATTGTAGTATTGGTTCAATCCTGGCAAAACTGTGTCACAAAGGAAACAAAAAAAAAAATGTTCTTGCAGATGAATAAAGAAAAGACAGGAATTTCTTCAGGGTTTATTTCTATGTAATCTTATATCAATTCTTTCTATATAAGTTCTTGGTACAGGAATAACAACCCTTCCCACTTTGAAGTCTATCACTTTGCTTAACATAACTAACTCTGGAGCAAGGCTCGTTTTGTGATGTCAACGAACACTCATTGCCACTTTTGTGGTGCCAATGAATACTTGTCACTTTTGTGATGCTCGTTGTAGTAGAGACTTTGTAATTGCAAATACAACTATAATATGCTGTTGAACAATGCTGGTGTCAGACACCTTTGAATAGCACTCACACTAATAGTACTTGCTTTATAATACTCGCTTGAATAGTAATCCATGTAGTGAATAGAGTAAAGAATAGCTATCTGTATAGTAATAGAGGATAGAAATGGTTATCTGTGTAGTAATAAAGGATAGAATAGAATATAGCGATCAATTGGATGCCATGCCACTTCCTACTTATGCGTTTCTTCTATGGTCACATGGTCTACTTAATTCAATAATGGGATCATCTGTGTTTGCTCACTGGTGATTTATGTTCAACCTCAAGTGTCAGCAGCAACACTTTATTCCTATATAACAGCTTGAGTCGGAGGGTCTCTCTGGCAGTAAGTCACATAGGATTTGGCAAGTGGTCATCTTTCATCTTGAACTACTGCTTCAATGTTCTGCTTATATTGACTTCCACCCAAAACTGGCATGGGGTTGATGTGGTTATGGGGACTTGGTGTTTCCCCCTATCTTTCAACAAGAGCCCTTTGTTGTTTGGCTCTGGAAAATTAATTATATCTCCAAATTTAGGGAGATCCTTTTTCCTATGGGCAGTGGTCACAGGTATTGATCTGTTCTAATAACTCCATCCTTCTCTTATTTGTGCCTCATACCAATACCTCTCAATGGGCATAGGCAATTTCTCCATCCTTTTTGGTATTTCATCTACACCAGTCACTTCAGTTGTTCTTTTGACAAACCTAGTTCACAAACGACATGGCTTAGTTTCTGATCATTAATTAGAATTTTTTCAGGGTCTACTTCTATGTAATTTTATATCAATTCTTTGTACAATAATATAGATTCTTGGTACAGAAATATTAACCCTTCCCATTTTGAAGTCTATCATGACACTTTGCTTATCTTAGCTAAGTCTTGAACAAGGCTCGAGTCGGAGTTTCTCTCTGGCAGTAAGTCAGGTAGGATTTGGCAGAGTGGTCATTCATCTATTGTCTGGGACTACTGCGGTCTTGGTTGCTTCAATGTTTTGCTTATATTGACTTCCAGCCAAAACTGGCATGGAGGCTGATATGGATATGGGGACTGTGTTTCTCCTATCTTCCACAAGAGCCTCTTTGTTGTCTGACTCTGGATAATTAATTATCCTTCCAAATTTGGAGAGATCCTTTTTGTTATGGAGTGATTTCACAGTGGAGGCTTTGTATTTGTACTAAGTCGGTCCTAAAAAAGGTTCGACATACAAAACGTTAGGAACTTCATATAATAGGTATGACTCAGAGAAAATCTAGTTGTGGTCGCTGATACTTTAGTATCCGACTAACGGTCATCCGGCATCGACTGACTGACTGAACCCCTGAGCGACTCCTACTACTCCTACTTATTATAGGTGGGAGAGTCTATTAACTATAGAATAGGTGTGTTTCACTATAACATTTTTTCTGATGGGTAGTGGTCACAGGATATTGATCTGCCCAACTCTTTCCTTCTCTTATTTGTGCCTCGCACTAACACTTCCCAATGGGCATAGGCAATTCCTCTGTCCTCCTTGGTATTTCACCTGTCCCTGTCACCTTGGTTGTTCTTTGAACAAACTGGTTCTCAACAGCATGGCATAGCTTAGTTCATGTTCATTAATTAAAATTATCATTTCAATTTCTCATCTGCAAAATTTCCCAACTTTGCCCTGCTCATAAACTCTTAAATTTACCAGCTGCATCCTTCACTCAGTCACCTCATCCCCATCCCCATCCTGCCAGGGTCATTGCACATTGCAGTACCCTAGGCTTCAGATCCTTGCACAAAGAAACTGTTCCCTTGATTCAGTTATAGAGATCACCAAATTTTATCTTTCAATTTGTGTTTTCATAACTGGCTCTCTTTTATACCATATCATCAATATGCTAAATATCGCCAGATGGCGCCTTGTGGTAATATCTTGTAAGCGAATCACTTTTCTCTGGGTGGTTTTCTGCCGTAAGAAAATTAGACTTTTGAAGAGAAAGAAATCTTGCTTCTCTCTTTCAGTCTATCCATCGTTCTATTTTTTTTAACCCTCCTTGTCTTGTTCTGAGTTATGTTTTTAATTTAACCTTTTCTTTCCATTTTTCAGTGTCACATGGTGTCACAAGTTAACACTCAGTGTTTTTCACTTCTGTGTCACTTGTACAATGTGGCAACAATGACTAAGATGAGTAATTTGGTTTCCACGACACTGTATACCTGCTATTCTTACACAGTTGTTTAACATTCAGATGGGTTGAATAGTTGTTGAGAACAAGAAGAATTTTACAGTTTTCTGATAGACCTACAGACATGCAGAGACAGTGCATAATTTAGACACTGTATGCGTCACACACGTATACTGAATACTAGCTATTGAGCAAGAATAAACATGCTTATCTTGCAAACTATGACAAGTAACAGGCTTATGGGCTACTCAAAAAACCTTTGATCAGCAAATATCAGTAAAGATGCAGTCAAGATAAAAAAATTTTTTAATATAAAAATTAATTTTTCTGATGTAGTTAGTTTGGCACTTTCTGAAAAGGACATTTTTTTTTGGGGGGGGGTCCGTTTTGAGAAATTTGCCATAGTTTGCCACCTCTGCAGAAGACCATATCCTGTAGATTACTAATCTAATATGCTTTTAACAGGCATATATTTAATGTCTTGTCGCAACAATTAGGGAATTGGTGTATAATAGTAACAATCATATGGAATATAAACAAAAACTATAAAGAATTTACCCTGGGCAACAATTCTTTGATTTCATTTTTCCTATTTTCTGAAGTTTTCTTATCACCCAACATCTTCTCCAAATGAGCTGAAATAAATAAGAATCCAATTTTATATATATATATATATATATATTTATATTTATTTTTTTCCACTTACCAAAATTTGAGCTGGGTGTACATGAGTTGAAATACAAATCAGAAAATGTAATAAAAAAGAGAAAATTAATTAAACAGATAGGCCTTGACAGTAGATTTAAATAAAATTTATGATGAACAATTAATTCTTTTGTCTATATCAGGAATTGACAACCTTCAGGCCAGACAGCTATGTAATGTCTCTGAGGAGGGCCACGATATCAAACATACTATAATAAATTGTCTCGACCTCTGACCACTATGTCCAAAAGACTGCCTTGGTCTGGAGGTTTAAAGAAAAAACAACAAAGTTAATATTATATTATTTAAATAATGTTCCTGCAGAAAAAACAGGATAACAACTAACACAATCAACAAAAAATACAAATTCTTTACTACGGTTAATTTGGTAGGCTGGACAAATCCTTTGCGGACCGGTGATTGCTGACCCCTGGTGTATATTATGTACAAGCAAAATTCAATAACTACATGGATAACAGACTTTTTAGCATTTTAATGTTTTAGCCACAAAGATTATTACATTCTATTTAAGGAATGGATTTGTGTCTGGTCCCCAACCACCAGCCTGTGGACCATTTGGCACCATGCTGCACAGAAGAATAAAAAAAAATGTTTTTCATTTTATTGACTCTTGTGGTATGTGTTTTGTTATGCATGTGACTAACATGGACTCCCTCTCCCCTCCCAGATCCATGGAAAAACTGTCTTGTATGACACCAGTCCATAGCACAAGTTAAGCAAAATGTATTTCATCTTCGAGATAAGGAATTGTCAATATATTTCAATTTATTTGAATTGTTATTATAGATGTTAATATAGACACAACATTTTGGCTAAATATTCTCTGGCTATCTTTGAAGTAGTGTAGTAGTACCATTATCATCATTGGCATGTTTTTTTGTTGTTGAGGATAAATCTTGACAAAATGATTTTACCAGGCCAGATATTCTTCCTGATGCCCTACTTAGACATTCGGTGTAATCCAAGTACACAGAGTATTTTTATTGAGACAACATCTTTAGGAAGGTTGACATTCAAGACTTGAGACCTCATCCAAGGCTGTTTTTTATATATATATATATATATATATATATATATATATATATATATTGTGCAATGGATAAATTGACATCTAAATTATAAAAATGAAAATAATACAGACATTTTATTTTAACAGATATATTTACCAAAATTATACAAAAATATCTTGAAATACTAAAGACTAAATTTATTCAATAAAATTACCATTGGCCTCCAGACAACTTCAGAATCTCCTGCAACTCTTCTACAGGGTCACCATGCATAAGTTGGTGAATGCTGCCATAATCCTTGCATTCAGTTCATCTTTGGTGTTACAAGGAGTCTTGTTGGTCTCTCGCTCAACTGCACTCCAAATATAATAATCAAGGTTTTGCAGTCTTGGGAGTTAGATGGCCAGATGTAAGGGGTGATGTGGTCACAGAAATTGTTTGACAGCCATGACTGGGTTCTTCTGCTCATGCAATACGGTGCAGAATCCTCTTGCCAGACCTAGGGTCTTCCAGCAGCCACCTTCTTGACCTAGGGAACACTACCTCATTAAGGCACTTGATGTAGGCCTCTGTGTTGAATCTGAGGCTCTCATCAACAAATTTGGAAGTTCTTTCCTAATCAGAATGATCAGAAAGAGTTTTCTGAGCTGCCATACTTTCATATTAAACAACTCTTTCTGAATTCTCTGCACTGTCCTCAGATTGACACCCAAACACTCTGAAATGTTCGTATTGGAGCTTCTGCCATGAATGCCAAGCAATACAGTATGGCATTTCCAAATTTCTGGTGGAGTGAATTGTGACAGGGTGCTCTTTTTCTCATAAACAGCACCCAACTGACCCGACTATACTGTACAGTCAAAAAAATCAAAAACAAAAACCGTGCATGCACAAAATTAAAAATGAAATGGCAACAATTTGCCCATTGTACGATATAATTTTACTGCCTGATGATAGTTGTTTGGTAGAAAACAAGGTAGCGGAAAAGTTGGTGTTCTAATTATTTTATATCTTAAATTACTCTGTCTTTTGAATATAGTAGTGAGCACTTTTTTACTAAAGTAAGCCAATTGTTGGCAAATATTACTTTTTGTAAGAAGTTGTATTTTTAAAAGTGAGTGAGAGTGTGTGTATATATATATATATATATATTATATATATACACACACACACACACACACACACACACACACCATTGGCTCCTATAAAAAGCCCATCCACCCTCTGACAGGTCTTTGTCTTTATCCTGTGGTGTGATACACCACCCTTCTCACCAACAGAAAAGCTAGTGGGAGAGCTAGTTTTGATCCCAAACACCAATTCATGTGGCAGGGTGTAATAGGTTAGATGTTACCAGTAGCAGGCCTAAGCCTGACCTGATCAAATATCAAAACCATATAATATTGAATATAATGGCTCAAAGAATACACCACTAATGTCCTTCAGGACAGTGGCATGGTAGATAAAAAAAAAAGTCTAGAACCATACGTGATATACACTTGGTCATTTGCATCTCTTTCGATTCATGACCAACTAAGCAGAAAATTTCCCGCAGTTGGCTGCCATTTCCTTCTGCAGTAGATAGGTTGCCAATCAAGGCTATAGAGCCCAGTCTGTCCTATTTTTCAATCCATGGCTTGGGGGAGGAGAAAAGATAGATCCCCACCTTTTCCACGGGTATTTGCACATAAATCAATGTAATGAACTCCCACTGGAATTCAAATTCAGCTCTCTGAGCCACTATCCATTGCACTACACTGCACATCTGTAGTGGATTTAGGAATTGGTTGAGCATGTGTTACTGTTATCTTGTGGTAGTGAGTTCAATCCCTGGATAAGGTAGTTAAACAATATACACTAGTTCAGCAAGAAGTGGCATCACAGGGACAAAATAACACTAATCAACAGATGGACACCTGATGATAGCCAGAGGATACTTGGTCGAAATGTTGTGTCTATAATAATCAAGATGGGGACAATCATTAGAATAAATTAAAGTTTACTGAGCAAAATGGTTTGTTAATTTGTGGATTGATTGTTTTCTTGGTTTATCAACCCTTTGCAGGTTATTTAAAGCCAGAAAATATTTTTAGATTCTATTTTTTTAAAATTATTTAGTGATACAAGTTTTACTAATTAAGCCATAGCTGGAGGAGAAGAGGTGGATTCATATCTTTCCCGAGGCATGTAAGTGTATATAATGATCCCATCAAGAATTGGAACTCAGCTCTCCAATTAACAATTCAGGGCTATTAGCCATTACACCACCCACACATCCAAAATTACAGCAGCTGCTATTCCCAAGCAGTCACCCATCTAGATAGTAACAATGCTCGATGTCGCTTAACTTCGGTGATTGTGGGGGAATCAGCATTCCACATGATGTGGCTGTAGTCCCTTAATTTGTGGAAGATGGGCTGAAATGATTCAGTCAATGAAATTTTTTTTGCCATTAAATATTTAATAACAATTTGTATTTTTGAAACGGGTATCAAAAACTGAGATCATTAATCTTTTAAAATAAGAAATACCTTAAGTCCAAAGAGCTTGACTTACCTTCAATCAAATGATCAGCTCGGAAGCATTCCCCATTCTTCAAATCTTTTACCATGTAATCCTGGAAACGGTCAACATGTCCAGAGGCCCTGGAAGAATATAAAGATTAAAATGATGAAACCCAAAATACTTTTAACCCTATTTGTTACCCACACAGCCAGTTTAACACAGCAGATGATTAAAAAATTACAATAAATACTTTAACTGCATTTAATTTTGGTAATTTATCAAAATTAAATCTATTTAAAGCCTTCAGGGTTTTACAAATGATAATCATTTTTTTATATTTACAAAATTTTGTGCATTGGAAGAATTACCACATAAATACTGCTTTAATCAACTCAAACAGAGCATATATTTGTACAAAATAGGAGTAGATAGGTTTGCCTATTGCCTAGTTTACACTCCTTTACTGTCATTTTTCTTGTGAGAATTTGTATTATTGAAGAATTTTTTTCTTTTAATTTTTGTACAGAAGTTAATTTTTCAAAAGTTCCAAATTTAAATTTTTAAAGTTTTCTTTACAGTATTTGCATTACTTAACATAGAATTAAATAATCATGCTATTTATTTTACAGGTACCATACTTCTGTGCATAGTATATCTTCAGATATGGGTGTTCCTATGCTTGTAAAGTTATATTTAAAATTTATACTCTCTAACCAAGTCATCAACCATGTCCCCTTCTGGTAATGATAGTCAATTTAAATTGTTATGAAGGAGTTATCTGTTTGATTGTCTTTCATAGAAATGTAATTTTTTTTATTAAAATCTTAAAAAAAAAATACACTTTTCTGTAAATTTATTTTGGAATTGATATTAACTGATGTAAAGAAAAACAAGAAACAAATATTGTTTACTTAAAATTTAAAAAATATTGCAAAAATGCATTTTTAATTTTAAAATAGCTGTGTTGATAGTCTGATAAAAGGTCTAATGTTCTATGGATTACTGTAAAATATAATTGAAGAATAATGATGTGAGCACCGTTTTTACATAATTTTAAGAAATAGTAATCTTAAAATTTAAGGAAAATATTCTCCATAATCTATGTTTTATTGAATTTTTTTAATTTGGCTATAAATTTATTTTTAGTTCCAATGCTCAAAATATTTTTCTATTTAATGTTGTAAATGGTCATTGGTTTTTCTAAAATACACAGATTAAAAAAACAAATCTAACTTTCATTAATAATAATCATCTCAAAAAATAAAAATAAATATCGAATTTTTTAAAAGATTTAAAACTTAATAAAATTTTCTAATTATAATTAAAAAAAAAAAAAAATTGAAAACAATTATTCTAAAAAATTCATTATTCATCAAAATTTGTTCTCCTAAGAATATATTGTCCATAATATATTGTTGTTTATAAAACCAATTAAAAACATTTTCTAGTTAAATAATGTCATAGTTTTTTTGTAATTTTTTATTTTAATATACAGAGCAGATTTTCAAGTTAAATGGTGTTTCTGTTTGACAAAATTGATGATTTTAATTCTTCTGAAGAGGCTGATATCTTTTTTTCTCAAAATTTCATGAAACTATAAGTGGGGTAATGTATGTAAAAAAAAAAAAAAAATATTTTTACCAAAATTTCCTAAAATACAAAAATTTGAAAAAAATAAGCAAAATTCATTTGTGAATAAGTCTTGAAAATTTCATCAAAATCTAACAATTATTTGATTTTTTGCAAAATTTAAAAAAACAATGGAAAAAAAGATATTTAAACTTCCATAGTAATCTTTGGCTCACTGTTGATGCAACGAAAAACAAGAATTTTTAACCAAAATTTTGAATGTACTGAAAAGGTTAAAAAAAAAATTAAAATAATCAAAAAATACTTTGGTCTTTCCTTTTCATAATAACAAACATTTTGACAATAAAACTGTTTTTTTTTTTTTTATCAATATTGGGGACTTTATTTTTAATTGCAGTATAGTCATGTTAGAAAATTTTTAGAGATACCTAGTTTAGCAAATTCCATATTCTGAATTTTTATGATGGATACAGGATGTGCCAACACAGCTTTCATTCCAGTTCCCTAATTATAGTTTCTGTTTTGGAAAGGTTTATCTTGAGTCATATTTCTTGTAACAAATTGGTAGAGGATATTGTCTTCTATTGATTGATTTGCTTGGGATATGGCATGGAATGTGTAAATCATCAGTGTCCATCTCTTCATATTTAAAAAAATCAGTGTTTGACAAATAACTGTATAAAGTAGCAACATTAACTCAACCAAGTACAGAAGTTTAAATATCTAGGAAATTTCTTTTAATAGACAGTGGAAATATGAGAATAAAATCAGAAGATTTACTCTCCAAAGACTAAGCAAAGTCTTCAGAAACAGGAAATTGTCATTAGAAACAAAGAAAAGAGCACTGAACCCATATGTGATATCAGTCCACCTATATGACAGTGAATGATGGACAGTTTGCTTTTAAAGACCAGACTTGAGGTCACAGATGTCGTTCTAGAAAGAAGGATGCTGAGCATGCTATGGCATATCCTTAAGGAACAAAGATGTTTTAAGGAAAATGGAAACAAAATGCTTTTCACTTATACTCAGAATCAGAAAGAAATAGCTGAAATTTATTTGACATATAATTAGAAACAAAGACTTGGAAAATGATAGCGAATCCTGGACAATTTCCTTAAAGTTGTTTTTAAGGCAAATTCACATAAACAAGGTGGGAGTAGCACTAGTATGCAAGGGGTTACAGAGGATTGAGAACAAGAGTAAAGAGGCATGTTTGAGGAAAGGTTACAATGAAGGGCAGGGAAAAAGCTCAGGGGGTCAGATGTCGATTGACATTACAATATTTGAAGATTATAGTCATCAGGGAAAGCAAATAAGGGTTAGGGAGTTCCACAAATGTGAAGTGTAGAAGAAGAAGCTGTTTGAGAAGAAGAGATGGTTACATTAGGTCACAGAACATTAATTCTACAGAAGGATGCTGAGCATACCATGGAATGTGTAAGCAAAAAAAAAAGAAGAATGTCTTAAGGAAATGCAAGAAAAAACAGAGACTTATACTTAGAATCAAAAAGCAGTAGCTGAAATTTATTGGAATATAATTAGAAACAAAGACTTGGAAAAATGTCAGTAAATGCTGGACAATTTCCTTAAAAAAGATGAAGACAAGACTTGAGATCATAGAACAAAGTAGTTCTCATGAATGAAGTCTTGGAAAATTTCTGAGACACAGGACATACTTCTGGGATACAGATGAAATGACGAATTTTAATAAACAGAAAGTTTGAATAAAGATATTCTTTCCAGATTTTAAAATTATTCAAGCAAAGAGTAAATGATTATATTCCTTAAGAAAAGAAAAAAATAAAAGATAAATCTTGACATTTACCTGTGTTTTGTTGTTAATTTTAAATAAGTGATCCGAAGGAGTCAGTCAGACTGAGAAAAATTTAAAAAAGAAAAGTGTTCTAAAATGAGAATTATTTGCAGTTGAAAATGGAACCTTTCTGGCAAATTAAACAGAATGAATAATGGGATTGCATTTAAATTTGATGACCCTACAATAATGAATGGTGTGTAATAACATTTGCAATGGAATCCCTAATGGACAAATTTCGTCTGTTAAGTTCAAGAATTCAAGAAAAAAATATTTGCTTTATATTCACTTTTAAACTTCAAATGTAATTAATCAATAAACAAGAACTTCAAATCTGCAATTTGTAACATGAGTCTGTTAGGTTTTACTGAGCTGTTCTCCTAATTGTTACCTGTAATTTTTTTTTATTTCTTCTTATATATATATAATATATATATATATATATATATATATATATATATATATATATCAAAAAAAAAACAAAATAAGAACAAATAGACTATAATTCCACTATATGTAACATTTAATTTAAAAAGAGGCCTCAATACAGGTGTAGAACTAAATATTATTTATTTTAGGATATTAAAGCAAAAACATATTAAAAATCACTACTCAGGTTTCAACACCACAAATGTGTCTCTTCGGGCAATGTTAAACCACTGGCAAGTGAAAGATTAATTTAATTTCAAAAGAAGAATACATTAAAAAAAAAGGCTTGTGGGATTTGCAGTAATTAGCCAATTGCCAACAACCAGTGCTAAATTCAAAACATCCTGGGAAAATTTTTTTAAAGGTCATCACATGAAGGTGTCTGCATATACATCCCAGACAATTTTCTTATGGACAAATAAAGTTGTTACATTATTTCACAAATAATTTATCAAAGTCTGACGTTCAGCTTCTTACATGGAATTTTATAGTTGATAAATAAAAGGCCCTTTAAGAAACTGGTAAAATAAAATAACTGTTTGAAAAAAAAAAATATATATATATAGAAAATAATATGCATATATATATATTTTTATTGAGCACTGTTGAATGACAAAAAAAAAAAAAAAAAACAGTCACCTGCGTAAATGTAAAGCTCTTCAGTAAAATGAATGGAGCACTTTGGCTGCTTGGCAATTTGTTTACGTTTGTAAAACCAAATATGCTAGATTTGGCTGACTCGTTATGTCAAGTGAAGATGGCTCAGTGGTAGAAGCTCTGACTGACACAAAATTGGTTGGGTTTTTTATCTGGGCTTGAGGCATTCAGTTGTAAATTTGCACTGAGAGAAATGTGACCAGATAAACAGTACTGTCTCAGAATGACATAAAATATGTCTATAATATATATTGTGGTCGAAAAACCCAGGTTGTGAGGTAGGATGGCATTTTATCCATTTCTAAATAAATATATATATATATATATATATATATAATAACAAATTGTTTAAATCCAAAATCTTGTTGACTATTAAATTATTAATGGAGAGCACATTTTGGTGAACATATTCTATAAATAAAGTGAAACCAATATTATAATAAATAGTGAATTTTCTTCTGATTGGAGTATTTTTATTTATTCAGGTGTGTGTGTATGTATATATATATATATATATATATATATATATATATATATATATAGGGGAAACACAAGTCAGAACTTAGCCGTGACAGTCTGTTTTAAACTTGAATGCAATCTAAAAAAAGGCCATG